CAGCATTGCTAACATCATCCCCAAGATGCGGATGATGCGGGGGAGTGGGGGGACCATACCATTGGGGGGGGGGGGTACGTGGCCCAGGGACTGGTACATATATGCAACCCTGATTGTGTGGTTTGTGTACGTGTCTTTGTGTGCCTCTCTATATTGGCCTGCATCAGGTTGGGTCTGGGTCTGTGTTTGCCGGCCCCGAAGGACGGAGCTTGGCATCTTGGCTCGTCCAACCCAAAGCGCATCTGCAGGCTGGTGGGTGGGATATTCCAATCGGGGGTCTTTCCACGCCTGGCCGTGGTGCCTTCTGCTGGATGTTGCAACTGCTGCCCGTGATATCTTGTTCGCGTTGGTTAAAGACTACTTTTATTGTTGGCTCTCCGTGTAGACTCGAAACATCGTTCAGCCCACAACAGGTTCTCAGATGAGCGATTGAGCTTGACCGGCTTACATGTATGTGGCCCAAAGGGATGCGCAAAGGTGTATCTTCGCAAAGGCGCGCATTGATTGCTGAGATTAGCTGTTGCTGTTGCTTTGCTGGTGCACAGGACATGCGTACATAGAATTCACTCAAAACGTGGATCTAGGGCTGAGCAAATTTATAAGAGTACAATATGTTTAATATGTGTCATATGCATGTCTTACACTGCACGCACTACATTAAGCTCACTGCACACTACATGTCACCTTATCCTACGCTACATTGCACACACTTGCACGTAGGTATTTACATATCTGCATATATATATATACATACAGACAGCTAGTACACATATATGCATAGCATGATAAATCACATAGTGCGGTTCCATTTGCTCGGGCGAATCATGCTAACCCCGGCAAAAGGGGCCAAACAACGAATTACTATATAAATATACACAGGTTAGCCTGACAGGTGGTTTTTTCAATATTCTCGTTCCTCCTCTCTTTTGGCAGTGACTTTCCTTTCAGACAACTGCCAACGCACAGGACAAGGCGTTTTCCCGGAAGAACGATGGGTGTAAAGCATGGAAAGGAGTTCAACCTCTTTGGGCCCGCTATTTGCGCCCTTCACTAACTTGTTGTTTCAGAAAGGATTCATTCACTGGTGCAGAGACGGAGTTTCTGAATTTTTCGAACCCTAGCTTGGTCACCTGGTCAACGTGTTGGTTGCCGACGTGTTTTTTGGAACCACTTGTCTTGGTGACTCATGCGCCTGGCCTGGCTGCTGCTTCAGCCTTCGCTTGCGGAGCCCTGGATCCTCCAGCAGCTGCGCGGATGGCAACTCGAGGATTTCGAGCTTCGGCAAGCATGAGATGGCAACCGCAGGTTAGCCCAAAACCTGGGCTTTGACGGGTATTTTGCTTGTGCGCCCAGTAGAGCTACTTGGTTTCTTCTGTTTTTTTTGACAGTTCGAGGGGTCAAAGTCAAAAGTGATGGCGAAATATTGGGGCGAGTGGGTTGAGTTTGTAAATGGACACCAAAGGAAGACCATTGGTTATTCCAAAAGCTGCCGGGGCCATGTCAATTGTCACTCATGGCTGCCAGCTTTCAGCCAATGAATCTACTTTGAAGTGGAACACCTCAGTTCACAGAATCCAGGCACTGTGGTTGGTTTGTCACGTATGTCTTGTTGATATTGATTGTCCCCTTGAAATTGAAGAGCGTCCAGTTCCCGAAGACCACGTCTGCTCAGCGAGCAAGACCCGCTTCGAACTGGCGCAAACGCGGAAACGCTGCGTCAAGACTGGAACGGTGCTGAATGAAACATCGCACGCTCCATGAAGGCCAAACAATTCATCGGATGTGATGGTGTGTGTGTGTGTGTGTGCGTGTGTTTTCTGTGTGGTTGTGTGCTAGTGCCCGCGCGCGTTGTTTGTTTTTCTTGTTTGCTTGCTTGCTTGCGCTTGCTTGCTTGCTCGTTCATTGTTTGTGTGTGTGTGTGCGTGTTCATTGATATTTGTTTTGTTTGGTTGTTCCTTTGCGAGTTTCTTCATTTAGTTGGTTGTTGTCTTGTGTTGTTTTGTGTGCATATAGGTGTTATCTTTATTGGATATGTCTTTTCTTTATTTGGTGCTGTATGTATTTGCTGATTGATTTGTTCATTTGTTTTTTAATTATTTCATTTATTTATTCGATTGTTTATTTATTGCGTCATTTCTTCATTTGTCCCATTGTTCCGTCTTTATGTTTGTATGTGGGTATTTATGTGTTTGTTATTTTTCCTTCTTCCTTTCTTACTCTTTTTACTTTATTCCTTCCTTTCTTAGTTGCTTTATTTCTTTCTTTCTTCAGTTCTTAATGTATAGCTTTCTGTCTTTTTGGGTTTGTGTTGTTCACTTCTTTGATTCTTGATTCCTTTATTTTCCCGTTATGTCATATTTGGTTTATTCCCTTAGTTATGTTGTTCCTGTGTTGTTTATTTCTTTATTTATTTGTTTATTTGTTTCTTTGTTGTTGTTTACTTTTATTTCCTTTTCTTTCTGTATTCATTTGTTTGTTCTTTATTTCTTTCTTTTGTTCTTTCGCTTTTTCCTTTTGTCTTCCTACTGTTGTTTCTTTCTGTCTTTCATAGTTTTTGTTGGTTATTGTGTTCGTTCGTTCTTTCGCTTGTTCTTTGTTACTTTCTTGTGTTCTTTCGTTTTGAATGTCTCTTTCATTGTGTTGTTCCTTTCTTAATGTATTTCTTTATTTGTTTACTGGTATTCTTGCTTTCTTTCATTCTTGATTGATTGCTTCCTTTCTGTCTTTCTGTATTTCAATTTTCAATAGTCCTGTCTTTTGTTATTTTGTTTTCTTCATTATGCTTGCTTTCTTTATTTGTCTTTCTTTCCTTCTTTCTTTCCTTCCTTCTTTCCTTCCTTATTTGTTTCCTTCTTTCTTTCTTTCTTTCTTTCTTTCTTGTTTATTTCTGTTTTGTCTTTATGTCTTTCTTGGTTTCTTTCTTTCTTCCGTTGCTTATTCCGTTGTTTCTTCCATTGTTTCTTGGCTTCCTGGTTGCTTCTTCCGTGGTTTCTTGGTTTCTTAGTTGCTTGGTTTGGTCGGTGGCTGGTTGTTTGAGTATCTCTCTGCTTCTGTGACGTGTTTGCGTGCTTGTATCTGTGTGAGCAGGCATTTGTGTCTCTTCACTGCGATCCAAGCCGAGTCAATCATGGCTTTATGGCTGTCAACCCGTCGTCTGCCCTGTTTTACACTGAGCCCGAATTCACCTCTCGCACGGGCGCCGCGGAAATTGGTTGACCTATGTGCACACTGCTGCTTGCTGTTACTTGGGATGGTGGAACATTTGGGGCCTTTAGCCAAGATAGGGATTCCTGCGGGACAGCGACCGCATGGTCTCCATCCCGAACCTTTGGAGTTGGTGTGGGTGCCCCGGGTGTCGTTTACCATCAATGGTTAGTGTCATGGTGCATCTTCGCCTTCTAAAATGACGGTAGAACATATTTGAATATTTTGAACAGGGAACATTGACCCGAGTGTGTAAACCACAACATGCTGTTTGAAGGACACAAGGAACCAGCCACTGCGGGGGGCACTGCGTTTTGACACCAGAGACGCCCTTTGAATAAGGCCAAATCTTTTGCCAGGTGCCATGATTTTACCACAATCAAGTCGGTCCTAGGTCACCTTTCATTGGGGAAAGGACCCCAAATTTGACCAACGGCCCACGAAGCACGGGATCATACCGAGCCCAGTCTTACACTCAGCTTTCACAATTGTGTCAATACCTGTCTATTATATTCCACCCCTCAGCCCTAGGATTGCAGTCAGAGTCGGGGCGGCGTTGCTGATTGGCGAGCCCTGCAGCAGCTTGGCAACAGTAGGGCTGCGGGTGGGCCAGAAACTAACCTCGGAGTCGGGGACTCCAGAGACCGGAAAGTAGCGACCCACTTTCCTACAAGCCATGGTATGATGTCAGAAGTGGATCGCCTCTTGGGTGCAGGAGTCATTGTAAGCTTCAGCTTCCTCTGTTTTATTGCAAACTGGTAAGAGGGTCATGAGGCCTCAACAAGTGTCATATACAGGAGGTAGGCTTTCCTTAAACACGTTGACTGGTACCTGGTTCTCAGAGTGATCAAAGAACCAAAAGGCAAAGTCAACATGTTTTCTCATACCAGCCTCGTGTACGTTTTGTCGTGGTGCGACGGAACCATGTCAAAGGCACGCAGGAGCGCACCTTTTGGCTTGCATAGATCCTGAAATAATGACCCCTGGCCTTTCCCTGGCAGTGTAGTGCTCGGGTTCATCCCTTGCGGAGTTTTAAGAGTACTGAATACTCCTTGGTTATGTGTCAGAAGATGGTGTACTGGTGGACCCCTCCAAATGAGGTACAACCCGTTCATGCACAACATGGGCTGACCAATTTGTTGCTGACGTAAACCTGTTCAGTGCTCTGATTCCAGCATCGCGCGGTCCCTGGCACATGTCAAGGCCCAAGTGTCAAGAAAGACTGACAGTTCAATTTTATCGTGCCACACTCGCCACTTCAGGGTCTATGCTCAAAGCCACCAAGCGTGTCCTGGCATCCCCGGCGGGCAAGTCAGCGTGCGGCGGAACATAAATACATGTTCGACCTGAGCTGGGCAAGCCTATCTGCCTCGCCAAAGGCAACCAGATCTGCGAAATGTGGAGCATATGTTGTCACATTATGTTGTGCACTTTCTCCACTGGAGGGTTCTTTGGAACAGTGCAGGGCCATCCGATCGATTGAACAGGTCATTCTGACTCAATTTGTTTCGTTTTGTTTGGGTTGGCCTATGCAGGGCGCTCCGCCGTTCGGAAGGCAAAGCGCTGCAGAGTTCAATGCTGCGTGGAGCCTCAGGAGAGTCTCCGAGAGTTCAACACCGGGGGATCCTAGTTTTGACATGCACCAATGTAGTGACTTGACCTTCTTGTGTGCTGGACAAACTTGGGAAGAAAAAAGAACCGGTTACTATGTTGATCGCATTTGGAGGGAGCAAACTTTTTTGCTGGCTGGCTGATTTCGAACATGCTGTGGTGCTTGCACCGAATTGGAGAAGTAAAAACGAGGTGCTTTCTTTTGTCAGTGAGCACAATGCAACCCTAGGCCCTATCCCGTGGCTACACGGCCAGAGTCCCACTTTCAAAACTTGCGTGAATCGATTCGGGAGGTGTTGGTTGCCATTGTTTGTGTTTGTTTGCGCTTAAACATGCCTTTTGTTTGCGTTTTATTTGTTGCAGGGGCAACCTCAAACACACGTCAACGCGGACTTCAAACACTGGAGGGCAGTTTATAGGTGTCTCCTAAACTTGGTCCTGTAGCCGACAAAAGGGCCTGGTACTCGTACCTCTTTCGGGAGGGGGGGGTTGAAGAGCTCGTTGTTACGAATAGGGGCGACTGACTCGCCACTTGGACACCTCCCACCTCGTTCATGTTGATTTCCTCTGGGTTAAAGGGGACCTCCGCCTGAGATGTGACGCATTCCTATATTTAATGGCAGGTCTGTATCTGGTGATGTTTCACGTGCCGCTTTCAACAACAATCTCACCAGACAAATGGTTTTGAATAGAATGTATTTGAGTTGGTTGAATAAACCAAGCCTCGGTCTAAATCCTACAACCATGTTTGAAAGGAGCGTGGACTTCAGGGTGCCTTTTGGGTCCTTCCGTGCGAGGAGCCCTCCCCCGCTGAAGCTCTGCCCGCGGCGCAAGGCGCGCCCTTTGGCTGGTGCCTTTGGGAGTGGTGATCAAAACGCAGATGTATCCCAATTTGGGGGCATCCTGCCGCATCAAGCATGACAGCTAAAGAGTGCTACGATGTTTTTTTTGATTTGAGCCTTTGGTAGCGTTGGAAGAGCAAGCGCAAGTAGCTGTTGAGGATTGGCATGCTTGATTTGCCCTGGAGGCTTTCAATAGCCACAGACTGTGTGACCGGTATTCGGTACTTCAGCGCCCTGCAGGATGCTCGAAGGGTTGCTCCGGCGTCACCTTTTTTGTCGGCACAGAAACGTGTGGTGGAATTGCCAAGCAACATCAAACAACACTTGTAGCAGGTAACTAGTATTTGGTTCGGGTCAGAAAAAAACCCTTTGGCCCTTTGGGATGCGCCCCATTGCAAGAATCCTTGGTCAAGGAGCCATGACCATGATCGTCGGAAGAAGTTTTCTCCATCGCATATTATGTGTGGGTCCCAGCGCAGAGGAAAGTGTCCTACTCCAACTTAACCCATCCAAGCAGACCCGAACAAACGAAGCTTCACAAAACCCTACATACCCTACCAACCCCATCCGAAGCCCATCCAAGTTCGAGCTCAACCAAGCCTCATCTGTGTCCCTTTTAGCTTTGTAGGTTCCCCACTAACCCCAAGAAGGGCTTTCTTTTTCTAGGGTCACTGGGTACTGCGCAATCCAAGATGTGCCTTGCGCAGGCGAGTTCTGCACCGCGCTGGTCCGGAAACTTGGGCCTCGCGCTTGCCAGCGACGAATGTCCACTGGGCGCGCTCACCGCCCAGGCGATTGCATCCCGATGGGGTGGGAGGGGAGCCTCAGATGAAAAAAAACGTGTGAGTGGGGAGACAAGGGGGATTATTACTGATGCTTCTCCTTATTGTTCGAAATCATGCTGCGAACACCACCACTAATTACTACCACTATCACTGCTACTTGTTTTATTATTGCTACTATGGCCCTGTCAATTTGACTTGTTTGCCCCAGGTCATTGGCTTGATTTGCAGCTCGGATTGCCACGGGGGCACCACGGATTTCCAGCGGTTGATGAGCGAGGCCCTGCTTCCAAGCACACAAGCAGCTTGGCAAGGGGGCTTGGGCTGGGCATCACGGTTCAGCCATCAACCCACTTTTGTTGAAACAATATCCTTTTGGTTCGCGCCGAGTGCAGTTACCCCGCGCGTTTTTTGCGCATGTCCTCGGAGCTCGTGCGTCTATTCTCAGGCAGTTTCACAAGTGTGGGGTTTTGGGACATCCCGGCAACGGCTAGCTGAGTCTCAGGCCGACAGGTGCAGTTTTGGACCAAGTCAGCACACATGGCACGTAGCGGGTGTGCTTATCATGTGCCAGCGTGCGCGCAGCTCTGACGTCATGCGCGTGAGCAGGCGTGCTTATCATATGCCAGCGTGCGTGATGCGCGTGAGCGGGTGTGCTTGTCATGCGCCAGCTCTGACGTCGTGCGCGTGAGCGGGTGTGCTTATCACGCGTCAACAAGCGTGCACTTCTGACGTGATGTGCGTGGCAGGGTGTGCTTATCATATGCCAGCATGCGGGCAGCTCTGACGTGCAGCGTGTGTGTGTGCAGCTCTGACGTGACGCGCTTGAGCGGGTGTGACGTGACGCACGTGACAGGGCGTGCTTGTCATGTGCCAGCGTGCGTTCAGCTCTGACGTGGTGCGCGTGAGCGGGTGTGCTTATCATGTGCTAGCGTGCATGCAGCTCTGACGTGCCGCGCGTGAGCGAGCGAGTGTGCAGGGGTGGAAGCCACTCGGACATGCGGGTGGGTAAAATCCCGGTACCATTTAGTTTCCCAAAGATAGCGACCTGATTTCCAAAACTTGCCCAACCCTGCTGGGCATGTGGCAGCATTTACCATGTTTTGCTTATTTGGAGACCCACTCAGGCCTTGGGCAGCATGAGCTAATGAATGAACCGCGAAAGTCTACTGGGCCGCTATTTTGTTCCTTCGGCAATTGTAGAAATCCGTCGCGGGCGTGATGCAGGAATGTACCTTCTCCAGATTTTGGAATTGTACGCAGCATGGGCATGACTTTCTGTGTCTCACGCCTTTGCAAGCCTCAAGCCGCGAAGCCCTCCAGCCTTCGGACACCTGAGGATTTTGTTCGACAAGAAGAAGTGTGGCATCCAAATATTCTCCTCCCTGTGTTCCCACCTTGCGCCTCATTCTTCTTGGCCTCAAAGCCTGTCGTTTCGTTTCACCCTGCCCGGATCTTCAGTGGTGCCCTTTTTACATGGAAGTTCCCTTTAAAAAAGGACCCCCCCTTGATGGCTCATTGATTTCCACTGAACTCTAAAGCCGAACTGAGTGATACGCGCCCTCCGTTTCAAGACAAAGCCGAAAGCACGTTCCAAGGAGATCTTCGGAGTGCCCAGCAGCCGCGGGAGTCTGTGGCTGCTGTCCACTGCCTGGCCAACCGCTGAGCTCCTGGCCAAGTGGAGCGCCAACTGCACCCGCCGACCCGGCCGGAGATTCCAGGCGACGCCGGACTGACGTGGAGGAGCCATAGGTGGTTTTTTTTGGTCGCTTTGCTTGAGGATTGATCAATTCAACTGGTCTTGGATTCCACTGGTTTGGGATTTTTGGGTCCAATCACGTAACAGGGCCAATTATGTTTCCGAAAAGATGCCTAGGGTTGTTCGGGTTTGGTGGCTGGGAGCGGCAAAGGGTGTACGGGTGGACGAGGGAAGAGTCGCAGCACGCGCTAGACCACTTCAGAGACCTTTGTACTTAATCCTTTGGGCGGGCTTCTTTCCGGTGTTTCGTGCTGGGTTTGATTTCATGCATCCTTGTGAACTTCAACGATGGGCAGAGGGGGATATGACTTGAGCCCACGCCTTGGGCGAGGGACCAGCAAATCCATGATCTTGCCTTGACTTCTATCTGTCGGTAGCATGTTGCCTCGCGCAGCAACAGGTATCGGAACCAAGGACTGCCCCTAAGATGGGAGAAAAGTGACGCAATCTTACCTCTGTGCACTACCTAACAGCCAGAGTGTGAGTTGGAAGGGGGCCTCCCCTTCCTTGTGCTAGTCGATACATAAAAGCCTGCACGAGGTAACCAAACAAAGCCCACAAGGAATTCCGACTCAACGCAATGGAGGAGCTGCTAACATTGACATCTTTGTTGAAACCGCTCCTGGTCTTGACCCACGCAGGAACAACATGTCCAATGCAGCTGATTTTGACATATTCATAGGATGCAACCGCATCAAACGTGGTTGATTTTGACGCACAGGCACATGAAGCTGATGTAGGAGCCATGTGTGATTTGGAGCTATGCACCAAAGCGGCGATCACACGTGGCTACAATTAGTGACATCAATTCTTTCTCAGAGTCTGGGGTACACACACACACTCTTTGGAGCTATGCACCCCATTTAATTGACCCAAAACGAAACCAACAGGGGATGGGTTTCGATTTTCCAGACGCCCTATTCTAACATGGTTTCCACAGCCCGACTGGGGTTTGGGGTTCCCTAACCTGCAATGCAGCCAGGGAAAAAACCAAGAAATGTCCGTTTCCCCTGGAAATTGACGGCGGAGCCGGCGGAAAATTGATGGACCCAGTTCGCCCCTCGCCTGCCATGCCCATGGCAGGCCCGGTGCGCCAACCCCGGGCTGACGACCTTCACCTCGCAGCTCCACGCGGCGGCGGATGCCACGCACCTCGGCGTAAGGGAGGTGGGCGCGAGGGCGCGAGGGCGCGAGGGGAGTCTTGGCGAGCCGGCCGTGAGGTCCGGGGGTTCAGTTCCAGGAGTTTTGTGGGGAGCTATAGTTTGCTTCTTCAAACTCGGGTTCAAAGAGATGTAGATGTAGCATGATGTAGCAAGGTTGCGCCTTTGGTGGGGGCATTTTGTTCTACCCCTTGTGGCAGGTTCGTGAGAGAACCCTGCAAAGTGTGTTTTTCAAATTCGTGTTCCAAATGTTTGTGTTGTCTCAATATGGAGACCCCCTCCCGTTCGTCCCGTTGGCATTCTCTCTGCGGAGGTTGCCCTAGCTTTCACCTGGGTGTCACTTTATGGTGGCTGCCGTTTTGGGGTGAGCTTCGATCCAGCCCCGAGGTTGGCGCAGCTTCTGGCGGGTCCAGTCAGTTTGATCTTCGACGCGCGCCTGGACCACTTCGCCACGGCTGGCCTCGAGATTTTGCGGCTACAGGACACCCGCGCAGCCTCTGCGATTGGCAGAGGGCCCGAGCTCAAGAAATGACATGGAACATGTGGATCGGCCCAAAAAGATATGTGCAAACCGTTTTCTTTTGGTGGGGGGATGTGGGGGATATCAGTTTTATGTTTGAGTGCGAGCGAAGCTTGTGGGCATTTGTAACATGTTTTGCCCTAGGACGGCAGAGCTAAGCTCAAGAACTGTGGAGTGGAGCTGGCTACCAAAGACATGCTGCAGCCCAGCTGAATTATGGCGAATGACTCTGGAGAAGTTATAAACGAGCTTGCCCATAAAAAGCCAGGTGTCCAGTCAAACAGCTTGGGAAGCATGGCTTGCAGAAGAATGAAGCAAACAATATAGAGGATCCAGGAAGCCCGTGTGTCATATGCTACCAGGTGCCGCAAACCCTACCAACCCTTCCAAACTTCAAGACCCTAAACGGTTTCTTTTTTCGACCGGTTGCTTGCACCAAAGAGACAGCAATGTGCCTTTTGTTCCGCCGAAAGGACTTCAATCATCGCCCCAAGACCGCACCCCAGACGCGCCAAAGCGCCCCGAGCGGCCCCGAGGCTCCTCTTCTTGCGGCTGTTGGGCCCCCCGGTGCCGGGCACCGACCCCTTGGCGCCTGCGGCCGCCGCGGCCGCCGCAGCCCGCGCGGCACAGCTGGAGCCGCCGGAGCTGCTGCGGGCCTGGCCGCTGCTGGCGCGGCTGCCGGGGAAGGGGCGGGGGGAGCGCATGTCAGGGGAGCCCCGAAAATGGGGCCATGAGCCTGCGGGTCTCTTCTTTTTTTTGTTTTTGTGTTTGTGTTTTTGAGAGGAACTCTTGGTTTAAGGCCAAAACAGTTTGGAGATCCCCCTTTGCTCAATGTCGTACCCCTTTGAAGGCGTTCTGATCATGGCGTCTCATTGTTCCCGACGGCTTCACGTGCGGACATGGCTCCCATCCTAACAGATTGTCTTTGAGGGGCTTGTTGGCTGGAGGCAGCCCGGTAGGTGTGCTTCAGTTTGGTTGAACATCAATGGATTTTGCAGGTTTCAGTGTGATCGTTTACCATTGAGAACCATTGTGTCAGGAACACCTAGGGGCCTGGCCTTTTGCACTTGGGTAGAGGTAGGATACATTTCACTATGTTGTATGTGTTATGTGTGACCAAGAAAAACAAATGAGAATAGGAAGGCATGAGGGCATGGCTCGTGTTTGTAGCTGGAATGGTTGGACTTCAGGGTTTTCACATGATGGTTGTTAAATCACTGGTGCTGCTTTGTGCCGAGTGGCGAGTGGAGTTTGGAGATAGTTCGCATTGAAGCCGAAATATTCGGAGGTGTTGTTTAATTACTGAGAACGAAAGGACATATGACATATTGATATGGATATGGGTCTGAACGTGTCACCGGAATGTACTAGCCTTGAAACGGAAGGCCCCAGCAAATCATGCATATTCTGGATAGACAAAGGGACCGCCAAATGACCATTCGTTTACTGTGAATCCCAAACAATCACAGACCATGCATATTTGTCGGGAAACTATCAATGATGCTTGTTTTTGACCCCAGGTTAGGTGACATCCAGCTCACTGACAAGACAGGCAACATGCACGGTGCATGACGTTGTCCTGCTCATGTTTGTAATTGCAGCTTCCCCAACCTGAACTCCAGCTTATCAAAGAAGGGCGACTGGGAGAGCCCTGTCATGAGCTTCTTCCGATGTGCCGGAAAGCTTGCTATGGTGCAAAACGGAGGAATGGAGGGAATGGACGGACTCCTGTGTCAAGGATCGTGCGATACCATGTTTGAGCACGGTCAGCATAGGGCTAGGATGTAGTTTGCAGAACGCAGGTCAAATGAAGCAACCAAGACAGCATTGTGCAACAGGGCGCGACTCTGTTTCTCATAGTTCTATGTGTCACTGGCGGTACATCGTTGCTCCTCCTTTGGGGGGGAGGTAGCCACTGGCTAGACAAATTTCCCGGAAACAAGGCGCATTGAGAGGCACTTTTTTCCCCCTTTTTTCTTTTGCTCTTTTTCGGGGTGGGGGGGGTGGGGGGTGGGGTTGAGGTTTGTATGTAGTACATAGATCCCTCTCAGAGTGGTTAATCTCGAGTAGTTTGCGCAACCTATCACGAGCTTACCTGGGAGATCCTGGCAGTAGCACGAGCTCAGCCATGAAGGTCTCTAGGATTCCTTTCAGCCGGTGAATTGCAATCAGTTCCGTAGAGTGGTCATCTCAATTCTAAGGGCTCGCTAACCCAGGCAAGCCTAGTTGTTGAAAATGGCCAAACAATCCAATGCAGTTCTCTTGATAGCTTCCAAACCAAAATCCAATCCAATCCAATCCAGATACAATGCAGGCTTGTCGAGCATGAAAATCCACTCCAACTAGCCCAGTTGCATGCAAGTAAACCAAAAAACACTCAATCCCAGACTTACTGTACCCCATTTTTTGTTTTTTGGTTTAGGCGTCCTTTTTTTGGGGGGGGAAGGGGGGGGATTAAGTCACCTCATGGCCCTCCTGGGAGCTCTTCCAAGGGTCCCCCCCTCCCCGTTTCGCCCGTCGCCGCCCTGTCTCGTCGCTTCAGGCGATGCTGGCGGCCGTGAGACTCACCACTTGGCGCTCCCACGGCGCCTCGGAGCGGAGCGCGGAGCGGGGCGCGGAGCCGCAGTTGGGCGGTTTGGGTTTGGCGGCTTGGGGGTTTGGGGGTTTGGGGGTTGGGGGGTCTCCAGTCTCCAGGCCCAGGGGGGTTTGGTCGGATTTGTGGGTTGGCTCCAGAGATGTTTCATGGTTTTTGTTTTGTGTGTTTTGGCCGGGGTCCAGGGGGTGGGGGGGAGGTGTTCGTTGCTTCTTTTTTTTGAGCTGTTTTATGGCTTTCCTCCGGGGGGGGGGAAAAACAATCAGGGGGATTTACCTTTGGGAGTCCCGGGTTGTGGAGAAATGGCTCGGAATCTTGATATTGAGCTACTACCAGTGGGATGTATTCAAAGGGATCAATATGTTCAAACGACTGCTGGCTTCCGATCCTTGAAAAGCCGGGCATTCGCAGCCTTTGGGCCGCCTTTTGGGCTTTTGGCTTACTTTCCAAGGTGGCTTGTTTGATAGGTGAACAAAGCAGCATGTTGATGACTCCGCATGTGCTTTGGGAGCAATGAAACAACTCGATCGTTTGAGATACGAGCTAGTTGTGCCAAATGTGACGGCCTTGTAGATGTTATCCCTTTAAAGCCGGCAGACAAAGGCAAAAGGGGGGGGGCTTCCCAAAGCCATCAGCAAAACCAGCCAAAAGCCATCTAACAACAGCAGACTGTTCCAAAGACCATCCAGAGATGGTGAAAGACGGGGAGGTGTTCGCTGAAGCCACACTCCGAGCACCGAGGTCTCTACCCGCACTCCCAGGTGCCCATCCCTGAGCTACAGGATGTCCTGCAGCTCTCTGACCGAGTCGACGGGTCCCAGGCAGAAACCATCCGACGGAAACCCCGCCCCGGAAAAACAATCGCCGCTTTGGCCCAGTGGAGTACACTGCGTCCCATGTGTTTTTGGGTTGGGTGAATTGTCGACTTGTTTTGTGTGTGAGTGTGCGTTTCCCTGTTCTTGTTGTTTTCTTGTGGCGGCGGGGCGGAGTTGTTTCAAAGAGCAAACCCGTTTTTTGTGCGTGAGCAACCTCAGGGCAAGTCAGACGATTGCGGGTCGTGCGATTCTTTTGGGAGGAGGTTTTGAAAACGGATGAACCGGGCAAACAAATGAGCGACCCACGAAGCAGTGTGCTTAAGGGCAACTCGGGGGGGGTCTTTGTCGAGGGAATCTTTGCGAAGCGGGTAAAAAAGCAGCGAAAGGACGCTAAAGAGGGTTTCGAGGGAAAAACCTAAGAAACACCCAAAGTGACTTCCTGTTGAGTTGGCAGACTACCTCGTGAATTCTGATAGATTCATCATGGTTAACGGCCCAACCACGCCTTGAGAACTTTTCCTTGAGACGCATGGCTTTCGACCCAGTGCCGCTCAGCTTGCAAGGCCGGCGTCGGAATGGTCGAAGCGAAGCAACCAGCAGAGAACGGCCGCTTGCAGCAGATTGTGGCAGGCGCTTTGCCGTATGCTTGTCGCGCGTTCACCTTGGCTGCTCTTCTTGTGGCGCATTTCGACTAGTTGCTTTCCCCGGAGCAGCGCAAACAGCCCCATTCCCGCCTTGGGGCACAGTGTGTGTGCCCGGATTGCCACTCTTGCTACAGTGGCCCACTATGAATCGAAGTAAACAGAAGTTTTGACAGCGAGAAGTTTGCGCCTGATGTTTGGCCTGGCCCCGCACCCTCGCGTTCAGAGAGTCTTGGAATCAGCCGCTTGCAGGATTGCTGAAAGCACGCCAATCGCGACTTTGGGCCGCAGAAAAGAGGTGACAAGCAGACAGTCGCCGCTTGACCAGGCGCGCTGCCGTTGAGCCCCGTGTGGCAGCGTGTGGCATCGTGGCTGCTAGCGGCACCGGATGCTCCTTCCGTCGCGCCCTGGCCTTGTTTGCATGCGGTGTTTGTGTGGTTGGCTATAGTCGTTGTGTTTTTTTTGCACGCGGTATGTGTTTCTTCCTTTGGAGGTGTTTGTTGCTTGTATTGTTTGTGCTGTCGCCTGTGCGGTTTTCCGGATTTTGCCACTTTGGGATTCTGCTTCGACCGGGACTTGGGCAGCCGGGTTGATTGCGAGAGTCCAACCAGTGACACGGCGTTTTGTTTCCCTCCCGGCCTTGCACCGGGCAAGGCTTCATCATGCTCGCCAAAGTGGTTCTCTGTGGATTGGGGACTCCCATGTGCGTGGTATGGCTTGCCTCATATTTTTTCTACTGTCGCATTTGCAGTTGTTGAATAACTGAAAAGACCCAAACATTGCGTGGCAATTTTCATGCCGAGACTTGGCAAATGTTCGCGTGTTCCTTCAGACTGCTGACTGCATTGAAGGAATGTTGGACTCACAGGAAGCTTTACCCAACCTGGCAAGGTGGCCGGAAAGTACCAGGTGGTTGATTTGTTCAATGTTTCCCTCACAGGCTACGCTGTTTTGGAACTGGCCTGGGGAAACTGCCTTCATTCATGTTGGAAGGCTTTCAATATGTGACAGTTATCCTTAAATGGCCGGTTGAATAGACCAAAAGCGGGTCCTCATTTTGACGCATCCTCATGCGCCCGGGCTATGAGCCAATACCAAAACCTGGGGAGTGACAATAATAGTGATAATAGGGGAGTGTTGGCATTCCCAACCATGTTTTTGTTCGCCTTATTTGGATCGATATTTTTACCTCGGGAATTGGGTTGACCACTTGAATAAGACTCACGTTGTTTGACAGACAGCCATGAGAGGATGTGAGTATTTGCTAGATTAGGGCACTCCGCTACCTTTCTTTCCTTCTCAAACCAGTCCAAGAGGCTCCGTTAAATTGAATCTTTTGAGGCCCCCTCAAGCTTAAATCAGGCTTCCCTTGAACTCACCATGACGGTAATTTGGAGGATGTCACTTTCCCAGGAAGGGGGGGTCCTATGACCAGTTCTCAGGTTGTTCAAACGATACTTGGGTAAGAGTGAAAATAGAGGGACTTTTCGGAAAGTCGGTTTTCGTTTTTGGTTTCCCTTTGAAGCTTGAAAAAGGCGGTCTCCGCAAATGCAGAACCCCACTTGGTGTTTTACACCCATGACGTCCATGGCAGGTCTTCATGACCATGCTTTGGGGCTCCCTGGGGGACGACACCTGGGCTCGTCGCTTCTTGGCCCGCGCTCTCCACCTGGGCCTCCCGCGCTTCATCTTCATGAGCCCTGACGAGGCAAGGCGCGGTCGGTTGCAGTCGGATCGCCCGGCCTGCTGGCGGCGTTTTCAGACATTTTCAGACACTTTGCCCTCACAGCTGGTTTCAGCTGCGACACTTGCGATCCAGGTGGAGTAAGAGGGTCTGGGGGAGTTTAAGGCACTCGTTCTGGCAAAGTGTGCAATGATTGGTGATTTGGTGCTGTTGAAGTGATTTTGGGGGTGGTTTCGACACTTCTGGCTTTCGTGTTTGCTCATTGCAGTTGTTTTTCGGCGTCGCCGAGGCCCTGCTCTTGGATTGCGAGGACGTGGCCGCGAAGTGGCGCAAAAGCGACAGCTACCCGCGCCTGCTGTGCATGCGCTCCTTCTCCAAGTTTCGCAGGCCGGGCACTCCACCATAACTCTACCCCGAATGGACATACGCAACAACTAGTTGTTATAAGTGGGTTAGATGTTGCAACGGGCAGCATACCCGCTTGGATGATCTCAGAGGGATTTGTCGTGATATGTTCTTAAAAGAAAACAGGCAAGGGTTGTTGATGGCTTTTCTGAGAGGGGCACAGATTGGAGTTCATTGTTCGAGGCCAGTCAAACATACCTTTAAGAAGCAAGGCGCGGGAATGCCTTGCGTAGACATGAAGTCAAGCTTGGATTCATAGTGGCGGTGCCAACCAGAAGGGCAACCTTGAAATGAGCCATGTCGGAGACATGTCGGCGGGCAATTCGGCGCAGCTTCCCTGATATGTGCAAGGTTTGGATGGCTTGCACGAAGTGAGTCAAGCCGGTTCGCCGCCCTGCCTCATGAACGGCACGAGCATGCCAGATGTGAATTCATGATTCTGCTCGCACATCGTGGGGATGCAAGTTCATGATAGGCTCCTCATACTGTTCGGGTCTGTAGATTGGTGTCATGCAGGGAAGACATGGATCCCATAGAGTTGTCCCACCAGCTCTCCTGCAGGCAGCCCTGGGTTTATTTCATCCCCGAGAAACGCCGGGTTTCACTTTCTTCTTGCTGAGGAAGTGGAATGAAGCGAAGACGGCATCCCACCTGTTTCGTGATAGCGTCCTATTCTTCGCCGGGACATATCCACGTCTCCACTTGGGCAAGGGGGCAATGTGCCGTTACTAATGTGCCGTTACTCGCTTAGTGCAGTAAGAGGCAGCTTCTTGCTTGCTTCGTTTCCGTTTAGGCAAGGTTGCTCGGAAGGACGGTCGGAGGTTGATTTGTGCGTGGCGTCATATATTTTTCAGATTTATTGTCGGTTGATATTTATTAGTTTGAAACAAAAGCAACACACATTCACTCTTGTTGCATAGGCCTTATGACGTCAACAACTACGCCAAGTTTGTGCTGGTGCCCTTGCTGCTGGCTCTTGGCATGAGCTACGCCTGGCTTGACATCGACATCTTCCTGGTGCAGAATCCCGGTGCAGCGGAATACGCGTTGTTGTTTTGTTTCTTATGTTCATTGCCAGACGCGACAAATCCTTTTTGCCCCATTGCGTTTTCGGAACTTGGCTCGGGAAGTTTGATTCAGTCTTGTGCTTCTCCGCCGAAAGGCCACGGTCCCTCCCCCACTGTTCGCGCGTTCGGCTGGGTTCTAGGAATAAACAATGCGAAGCCGCTGACAAAAGCCGGTGCCACTGCAAAATGTCCCATGACCAAAGCAAATGATGTCAACCCCCATGCCCATGTTTTCATCTTACGACCGGACCACCTAGGAATCCCACACAGCGGCTTCAGGAGATTGCAGCTTTGCAAGAAGCGGATGTGCTTACGACCGACCACTTCGATGCTTGGCGGGGCTTTGGTGATTAGAGTCCTTTTGACTGTGTCAAAATAGGTTTCCCTTTAGACCAAGCTGAAAAGAGCACCCGGGTACCCTCCAAAAACACCCCGTTGCCTGGAGGATGTTATCTGTCAGACACAACGTCGGACTTCCTCTGAACGGTTCTCGGAACCCGTGGCTCAGAACCTCGGGGCTGAGGCTTGAGCCTTTGCTTTCCTTCCTTTGACAGCTTGACCATTGAGCCGCACGCTTTTCAGAAAAGGAGTAGCACTGTAGCAAATTGTGTGCCCAAGTTGGGACGCTGACGAGTCCGGGAACAAATTTAGGCTGAGCCTCAGAATCCGGCTACCAGGGGGTTAAGTCGCTCAGAATCTGCGTGACTCGGCGCAAGTCTTGAGTCATGTTCAAGCTTGCTCGAGCAAAGGAAAGTGCACTCCTGGAAGATACGCCCAAATCCATTCGTGCCAATTTGAGATCACTTGAGCTTCTGCACGATATGATGCTCAGGCCTGAAATTTGAGCAGTTTGCAGCCAAACAAATGTGAGTCGCCAGAGGTAGACTGGATGGCCTGGGTACTGTTTTGGAGTAAGGGCACCTGCACGCAGGTTTTGATTGTCTAAACACAATGACTAAGTTGAAGTTGTAGTGACGTATGAGCAGATAGTTCACACAGAGCCCTTTGCAAGCTGTTGCCAGAAAGTGCCACTAGGATCAGAACTGCCTGAACCACGGGGTGATTTTCGTGAAGCCTTCAGACCGGACGCTCTACTGGATCTTGAGCTACATCCGGTGGATGCATGTGAACCCCTTCGGCCACGATCAAAACGGCGCCTGGGCTCAATGTGTGGCAAAGGAAATAGACACACTTGGGTGACTGCTGAATGGGATCCGGGAATAGACTGCAGAGATGAATGCAGTAAGTCAATAAGTTGTTTGGTTCGCCACTTTCACACTTGATTCCGGTGGCGTGCTGGCAACTTCTTTTGCTTGCTGTTTCAAGCCTCTTGTAGGTATCCAGCTGCATAGCGGCTGGTTTGAAGATTTAGCATGGTTAACCATGAAGGCGTGAAGCAAAAAAATGCTAATGGACTTTGCGGCCAATACTATAGTTGTTCATACCTTATGTTCAGGCTGTCAGGACGCTATGTTAAAGATGCTATACGCTGAACAAGTCTATCTAGTCATCTTCTATATGGCAAGCAAGCAGCGTTTGCTCCCTGCAGATCGCCCGACCGGTGCTTAGGCTGGGATGCCTTCCTTGGGCACTCCATCCAATTTGAGCCCTTCGTCCCAGCCGCGTAGTTGAATTCAGCGGGGCAGGTGACACGTGGTTCACTCACCCAGCAGGCAGTTGCTCAGTTGGTTTGTTTATGTTTGTTGCTTCTCCGCACGTGCTTTGCGCCTTCTTGTTGTTGCTTTGTATGTCCGTTGCTCTTTCTTTATTTGACGTGGTGGTGTGTTTTTGCAGGGCCTTGTGAGAGGGCCTATGGCAAATGTTATTACACCCTCGTTCTGCATAAGGTTGGTCCAATCTCTGAGGCTTCCCTGTCAGCGTAGAAGCAGTTTGTTCGAAATATCTGAAGACTACTTTGACGCGTTTACGGTTTAGGGTTTAGGGACAAACCAGGCTAGAGTTTCCAGCTTCAAACGATGACTACTGTATTTCCAGTTGCTTCCCTTTTCAAAGTGTCCCTCCACAAACAAAAGCAGCAAGCGCTACATTTGACACACATGGCCGAGCCAGTTTTTCCATAGAGTTGGCGAGACGAAAAGGGTTCTTCGGGCTTCATGGATACTTTGTTGCATGCTCATGCGCATTCTCGGCAGGAAGTTGGCGCCAGGTGCATGCCCTATGGGCTTTTTGCATGTTCACCTTTCTTGTGGCTGAACAAGTTGGCCTGCTTAACAGCTGTACGTTCAATTTTCCCAAACTGACTGTTCCGGGGGTTGGACATGCTGTATTTTTCAGACGGCCTATTGAACGCCCAGCCAAAGCACAACAACAGCATCTTCACCCTTCAGGTAGGGCTCCTGAATGAGTGAGTCTGGGGCTTCTTCTAAACTCAGCATGACTGATTGACTTTTGTGTTGCTAAAATTGACGAGTCGAGAAAACATGTGGACATGCACTTTCTGATCCGCAGACTCCAATTTCCGGGTCTTTGTAGATTTCCTGTTCAACCTAGTGGGATGATTTACCCCTTCCCCTCAGGGTCGACGAGAGCGCTTTTTGGGTCCCAGGTACCCAGAGATCGGAGGTAGTTTCTGATTTGAGTGAGTCTCGTTTAGGGATCCGGTGATGTCCCGTTTTCTGGGCCGCCAAAAGGGGCGTGCTCACGGGAAATCCTAGTTGCAACCCATTTGGGAAATCGCGCGGAGGCAGCTCCGTTGGCCAACGTGACGCTGGCAGTGTTGGACACCTCCAAGGCAGCATTTGGTTGAAACAAATGGACCCGGGTTCCAATCAGAAGGGAATCCAAGACGAGGTTGTTGATACCGTCTGTGTCTGAATGGGCTCCAGTCATGCCGGGTTTCTTAGTTTTTGTGCTTGTCGCCGGTGTTCTTGTGGCCAGCCCCAAACCAACCCGAACAGCCTTTCAAGCCTGAACCCCAAACCCTAGAAGCACCAATCAGGCCCCCCATCCCTCCGAGCCTTCCCAAATGAGAAAAGAAAAAGGACACCATAACCCCTACAAAACCCAAGACCTAAAAACCCTTAACGAACCCTACGCGCTTCCCGAGTCCTCAAATCCTGCAACCCCAAACCCTAATCCCCAGACCCCTTCAAGCCTGAATCCACGCTGAACCTCCCCCTCAAATCCCAAGCACCTAAACACCCAAAGCCTCCCGACCCTCAATGGTAGAAAGTCCCAACCACTCTAAACCCTAGAATCCCCAACCCCTAAAACAAGCCTAAACCAAACAACACCCAGCCCCAAAACACCTAAGCACTGAAATCCCCATAAGCAACAAACCCTAGAAACCCTGAATTGCCTCGCACTGCGCAACGCAAACAGGGTCTTGTGAGAAGTCAGCACATCCTGGAATTTGCTCTTGTGAGTGAGGAGACTTGAAAGTGAGGAAATCCTTCTGGCGACCAGCGAGAGCTTTGCCGTTTCAACATGTGCAAACATGTGGGTGTTAATTGTTTCTTTTTTTTGGGAGGGGGGGAACCCCTTTTGCTTGCTTTTACAGGGAGACCAAAAGGAAACCCGCGATTTTCAGGGGTTCCCCCCATTTCAAGACAATCCCATTCCCTCAGCGAAGGGGTTGGCCCCTGAAGGAGTTTCTGACTCTCACCGGCTGGGCGGGGGATGACACGGAGCTGCCGAAAGCCCCTTGATCCAATGATTCGACTGGAGTTGGTTTGGAGCCCGGTTTGGATTTGGATGTGAACCCGTGCTTGTGGCTAAATTGGAACATTTCGAGAACACCACCAAATCACCGGGCTCCAAACCGCCAAGCGGGAAGCTGCAAACTGGGGTCCGGGGCTCGCTTTTGTTTTAGCACATACCCCATCCGGAACCAAGGCCCATGCTGAGGAGACACGGCCATGTGGGTCCAAGAAAACATGTTAGGGTCGACCTGTTTTGTAGCTAAGAAAACAAAAACAAACTGTTTTGTAGCTAACCCTGCTCCAATCAAGCAGTGACAATGAGTTGGGCCCCCTGTTTGCATGGATGACAAAAAACCCAACTTGAATTTCCGCACCCCAAGAGAACCCCGCAAACACGCACGCAAGCACGCACGCACGCACGCACCCACACACACACACACCACACACACACACCACACACACACACACACCCACCCACCCACCCACCCACCCACCCACCACCCACCACCCACCCACCCACCACCCACCCACCACACCACCCACGCACCCACGCACCCACGCACCCACGCACCCACGACACACACACACACACACACACACACACACACACACACACACACACACACACACACACACACACACACACACACACACACACACACACACACACACACACACACACACACACACACACACACACACACACACACACACACACACACACACACACACACACACACACACACACACACACACACACACACACACACACACACACACACACACACACACACACACACACACACACACACACACACACACACACACACACACACACACACACACACACACACACACACACACACACACACACACACACACACACACACACACACACACACACACACACACACACACACACACACACACACACACACACACACACACACACACACACACACACACACACACACACACACACACACACACACACACACACACACACACACACACACACACACACACACACACACACACACACACACACACACACACACACACACACACACACACACACACACACACACACACACACACACACACACACACACACACACACACACACACACACACACACACACACACACACACACACACACACACACACACACACACACACACACACACACACACACACACACACACACACACACACGCACCCACACACGCACCCACACACGCACCCCCACGCCCACACGCCCACACCCACACCCACACCCACACCCACACCCACACCCACACCCACACCCACACCCACACCCACACCCACACCCACACCACACACACACACCACACACACATACACACCACACACCACCACACACACACACACACCACACACACACACACACACCACACACACACACACACGCACCCACGCACCCACGCACCCACGCACGCACGCACGCACGCACGCGCCCACACACACACACACACACCCTCCGCTTCGTCTCTTGTACCCACCTGCCCCTAGCACCCCGTCATGTCTTGAACCATGGCGCCACTCTCGCAGAATGGTTTTTTGGGATGCTCTCAACTTTGGTTGCTTGCCCTCTGAGCCTGACAGCTCAAACTCTGGATTACGTTGTCTCCGCATTCTGCTTGATGTTCCATGCAGATCAGATCTTGTGCCATGGATTCCCCTGAAAGCAGATTGTCCAGACACACATAGTTCCTTTCCGACAACAAGCACATTAGAGAGTTCGAACACCAGGAGCTGGTGTGTGCACGCTGGCCCGAGAGAACGTGGGCAATCTTCCTATTCAGATTTGCTCAACCAAGTACTTGCCGAAATGGTGGAAGTGTGCCTTCTACTTTCCCCGAACTGCACAAGTTCTTTTTGAGGGTGAGCAGTTCTTGCACCGGGCTCAGCATGAAGATAGGGGTCAAAGGGCAGCCAACGAGCGGTGGCTTGCCGGAATTGCAAGGCAGAAGACACAAGCTCTTGCTTAAACAAGCGTGCCTGGTTTACTGAAGGAGAACCAAGTTAATGGCCACGTTATGCCTTGAGCTGCGGTCGCTGCCAAGTCTTCAACCCTGTCTCAATATGGGGTTAAATTCTTTGAGGGCACCATTTGGGTCCTGCTTTAGGAGGAAACCAAACTGACAACCGTTCATTTTGGGGCTTCCCCTTTGACACATGCCCCACATTCTAACTACAACCCGAAGGAAACTACGAGGAACTGCTTGTTGAGGATTCCAAAAGGCTTCTGATGGGCCGCTGTTCCTTCAAAATGGCCAGCTGGGAGCGAGACTGGTGGCAATGTCGTAGCAGTGATGCTGACACTTGGGACGGTCCCACCCCCTACGTGTTGTTTGGTTAAGGGCAGGAATGGTGGCTTTGTGGAAGGCTATCAAGCGCGCATATTTTGCGGCGCTCCATTTCGAGGAGGCGCTTGAAGAAACAAAAAGCCTACGATTGTCGGGTCCAACGAGCTTCTTGACATACCCCGCTGAGTTGTGCCACAATGATCTTTGACCTGTTGCCTTCCCCTTGCCCCCAAAGGCTTTGATTTCCAGGTCCTTGCGGCTTAAAAATGAGCCATGGTGGACTTGCTCAAAGTAGACCCTGCCAGAGCCTCGGTTCATTATACAAGGTGAGTCCAACCGACAAACCTTCCTCCAGCCATAAAATGTTGGAGGGATTCTGGAAGACTGTTGTTGGACAGAGGCCACTTTCCCACCAACAAACATGGAGCCTGACAGGATTTTCTTGCGAAATACCTTCCTCTTTAAGTGACCTTCTGGTGAATTTTGCGCAAATGCTGACCCAGGATCAATAAGCCTTTGCCCGATTTGGTGGTCCCAATGTATAGCGGATCTTTCACTTGTTAACACTCCCTATGCATCCAGGTTCAGTCCCTAGCTACCCATGAGTCACAGTCCCCACTTGGAGTTGTGTCAAAACCGTGGGATCCCAAAACCAAACGCGGTAACTAGTTTGCCTTCTAGTTCCCTTGCGCCAAGGTGACACACATATGAGAAGAGGGCCGAGTGGTCTGAGGCACAGCTTCTGCACCTCACCCGCACCTTCCCCATCGACATCCGCGAGAAGCGCCAGCGCTTCTTCGAACTCCTCGCCGGTGAGGAGGCGGCAGTCGGGTCCATCAAATGAGAACGAGCTCGCCCATGGGAAAGGTTCATGTCTGGGTTGGACTCTTCATTTCACCATGTCAAAATTAATAGATTACGTGTTTTTCTTCAAAAAATCTGGGGGCCCCCAAGTTTGGGAAACTGGATCCATGTGCTTTTCGATAAACAAACATTTGCAGTAGTTTTGGGGTGAATGTGGGAGAGGGCATGTGGATGACCACAAGGATCATGCCACAACATCTACCAAATTCAACAACACGGACACAAATTGCCAAAGCTACTACCAATACTTCTGCCATTTGCTTGCCAAACACCCTGAATCTGACCGTGACTGATGTGTGTTTGTTTGCGATTTTTCCTGCTTCCTGCTGTGGGTGTATTTTTGAGCTTGATCGATCATACCCGTGATCTCCAACACACAAATCATACGTGAAAAATACATTCAACTTATAACAGTCACCTTTCCCAAAAGGGAAATATGTTCAATTGACGCAAAATAAAACCATGTTCAATTGGCCCGAAGGGCGACATTAACCACCATGAGTGCAAACATAGGGACCCCGTGCCAATCCAATTGGGGAAGTCCACAAATCGAAAGGAAAGCCCATAGACGACCCCCGCCTTTTGTTTTTTTTTTTGTTTTTTGTTTTTTTTTTTTTTTTTTTCGGAGCCGCCTATTTGAAGAAGCCGAAAGCGCGAATGGCTAGCAGTTTCCACAGAATATGGTTTACCCGCACGAGGACCGGCAGCTGTCGGGTTGCCGGGTCCAACATAAGAAAGCAAAGGAAACGACCTACCATGCTTAGATTTCGGGCTTCTCCAGTTTAGGAATTTCCCGCGTCCTACCCGCGGTGGCTCCTGGTGAGACCATTCAAGGCTGCTGGCGCCCTTGATCTATAATGCGTAGATGCGTCTAGGTTGGAGTTGCATTATCTGAAGCCAACCTGATTTGGCTCCCATTGGCCTCGACTGCCAAAGAATCCTTTGGGGCAAAAGCAAAGCCTGCGAGCTGTGAGTGAAATGGACCTTGCCTGTCGAAGCGAGGGTTGTGTTCGTCTTAAAGAGGGGATCTAGCTGCTAGCTCCTTGATTTTTTTTGGGGGGGTCCTGTTGGTCTCTTTACACATGCACGACATGGGTCCCGAAGTTGGGACTCCAAATGAGCAAGCCCATCCCAGTTGTCCTCCACCGCGTCAGAATTCGGCCCTCCAGCAGGCGGCCTGCGATTTGCTCTGAATTCAAGCTCAAGGTGCCGGCCCCTCCCCGCTCCTTCTCAACCTGACTTTGAACATGGCTGCTGAGCAGAAACACATTCCGCGATATCCACCAGCGTTTTCTTTCTTTCAGTGATACCCGCATGACCTAACTTGGGGTTGGCAGGGATTGTCATCAACCGCTAGGGATTTGAAACGACCATGGTAAGGAAACCTAAGTGAGCCATGACCATGGTGAAGAAGAGTTAACAGACGTGGTGGCCATTGAAGGTCAATATGTTCTCCTTGATGGTGCATCAGATGGCTAGGACCATGGCACATGTGACTAGGTGTCAAAAAGTTCGGGGACCCCCAACATTGGAGCCCCCAACATTGTGGCTCCCCTAGCTTCCCCTTTTTTCCCTTGAAACCAACCCCAACATGGCGTACCCTCTGAAAAAAGTCGCCCAGAGCCCTTCTCTCGCAAGAGGATCCGCAGATCCTCCACGGCACCTTGTCGCAGATCCGGACGCCGCTTCGGCAGAAGCAGCCCTGCTACGAAGCCGTGCACGTCGCGGTGGAGCAGGCGGAACTGTGCAAATTGCAAGGCCCACGAACGACGGTCCAGTCAACTGGGTCCCTTTCTTTCCGGCTAGGGAGCCAAATATGCCCGGTTGTTTGTTTCTGAGCTTCAAGAGCGTTTCAACATACCTTTGGAGCATGCCCTGTACCCCTGGCAGGAATCTTTATGGGAGGGTTGGGGTATGCTCAAAAGATACATTTAAGAATTCTTAGATTTGATGTATATCAGAAGCAAGGGGACCTTGTGGACACTTTGGATATTGCCAGAGTCTGACAATTAGTCGAAAAGTTTCCCTTGCCCTCGAGAGAAACAGCTGTTTGCCATTGTCGAGTCCGGTAGTTCAAAAGGCTTCGCCCCTTGAGCAGGCACGCGGGAAAAGAACACATACAGCTTGATTATTCTTGTGCCGTGTTCTCTAGTCTCAAGGCGGGGAAACAAATATGGACATGCCAATTGTTACTTTCAGCTCTGGTACAAACATAGTCTGACTGGCACTCCAGTCTTCACCCCCCCCCCCCCGGAAGTCAGAGAAATCTTTGTTCCATGTTTGCCCGGGCAATGTTGGACACCAAAATGGCTGGGAGCCCTCGCCTTCAGTCCGGGCGGCCAAAAGACAACACTTGCTGTGCCCAGGTCCCCACCACCCAAGTTTACAAAAAAAGCAAGTATCTCTGTGAAAAATGTATTTCAAATCTATGAATTATTTAAGGGCCGCCCTGTGCCGCCGGCCCCTGCTTGCTGCAGGGGACGTTGTTATGACAATTATGACTACGCATTGTTTGTCGGGGTTAACGGCACACTTAAAGCATATATGAAAAAGACGAGCAGCACGATAATGATGATGTGTTTGATGATGCAACTTTTTACCCAACATTAGGGATGCTACTTTGCAGTTTTAGCACCAGCAGTTGTTATGATAGTTATGACGACGCATTCCCTGCATCTCAAACAAGCTACTACAGGATCAATTCGCATGGTGATTACAAGAAGTGCCCCGAGCGTGTGGAAACTCTGGCAGGAAAACCATGTTGGGGGCACTTTTTCTGTTCGCAAGACTTCGTTGTATTGCTGCGGATGCAAAGCGTGGACTTTGTGTCATCGCTTCGTCTTCGCGAGAAGTAAGCTGTTAGGAACACCTCGGGATGCAATCAGATGGTGATGATGATGATGAACGATGCATCCCCGGCATCCAGCAGTTATTATGACACTAGTTACTACGCATCCCCTGCATCTCAAGTCAGGTCTAACAGCACACTTGAAACGGATATGAAAAAGAAGAGTTATCATGACAATCATGACTACGCATCCTCTGCATTTCCAGTCGGGTCCAACGACAGAAATGATGATGATCCGGATGATGCAAATCATCACCGCATCACTATGCATCCGCAGCAGTCATGATGATAATCGTCGATGATGATCCGGATGCTGCGAACCATCACCCAACATCAGCGGTGATAAAAATCATCACCAAGACAAGGACGAAGACAAACCCTTCCCATGCGCCTCCCCTTTGGAGAAAGGGGTCGGCGGATACACACAGAGGTTCTCAAATTGATCCAACCAGAGTTAGATCCGTTCAACACGTGAAGCAAGGGTGTTATGTCTAAGTCCACCTGTTGAGCTAGTGGCCCTGTTTTTGTTAGTCGGATGTTGTGCAGCGGTCAACCTTTCAAGCTTGGTTGGTGACAAGCTACGCTTCAAAGCAGAAGTGTGGAATTCATGTTGGCAAAAGATCGCCAACTCACAGGGAAGGTGATTCAATGGAGCACGAGAAAGGTGCATTTCTTGGCGGGCCCTGATCCCAGGCTGGCTTGGCTTCTGTTTTTTCTTCCCCAGCTGGTTCCCCTGTCCTTTGCGAGTGGATAAGATGGGCATAGGCCGTAGGCCTTTGGAGCTTGAGGGTCCTGGCAGCTATCGAACTCTGCCCAGACTTCACTGTTAGGTGTCTAGGCTCGCATGTTGTCTTGTTCACATTGAAGAAACATCCGCATTCAAGGAAGCTGACAAAGGGGCATTGGACAAACAAACAACCCAGTCACAAGAGCCAAACGCTCTTTTCGAAAAAGGGTCTCAGCAACACAGGTTTTGGGTTCCCTCAGAAAATGGAATTGGGGGAGGGGGCACCCCTGGAATTTCGTCGACATGACCATTTTGGGGGGAAGACTGCACAACAGAATTTGGCGATGAACCACCCCTTCCAGGTGGTGCAGGATGGTCGGTACTGGAGCCTCTTCGATTGACGGCTTCAAGACGTGCAAGCTGGAGCAACAAACGCGCGCGCGCGCGACCGGAAGCACGTGAGGGCCAGCAACTTGGCCAGAGATTTGTCCGAGACTAGATATGGGTGTGTCGGTTTTGACCTTGTTGGAGTGGTTTTGAAGGGACATCAATGAGAAACTCTCCCATTATGGTGTTCCGCGACTTGGAATCACACATGCGTCATACCTTGGGTATGGTTGGAAGAAGCTTGGCCTTGTCATGCCCCACCTTCTATTTTGTTGGGACCAATGCTTGCTCGACCGCCCACTCTCCAAACTATGGTGATATATGGGCCTCCTTTTGCCTTAGTTGGGATCTCTCGCTTCAAGTACTTCTACATGTTGAGGCAATGCCCCCAAACCTCCAGTGCCCTTTTTTCCTTTGTTTCGCTTTAGATCAGAGTGCCGATTATTTTGTCCCATGGTCATGGGTCTGGGTATAGAAAGAAACCTCTGCGAGGCGAGTGAACGGCAAGAAACCTCTCGGCGCAACGAGAAGGCGAAGTTCGAAGCTGTCGCGCCAGGCTTGACACTCGCCGGGGGGTTAGGTGGCGCAGCTAGGTGCCCTTTCTGGCTCTAGAAAGATGAGCTCCGCTGGACTCTGTTCAGCTTGTTTCAATATTTTATTAGCTTCGATGTTTCCAAGAGAACCTATAGGCTCTTATACCGCACAAAGAACTGCCCATGCAGGCAAGGGACGACAACATCGTTCAGGCCCACCTATTTGGGCAGCCACAAAAGGATATGACACATCCATACTGGACGGACCATTAATTTGACATTTCCAGACTTCCCCCCACCAACCATAAGTTGAGCGAGCAAATTGGGGCTGTCCCATGATAGTCCCGGCGAATTAGGCATTGGGCCTGGCTTCCATGCTACAAGATTGGTCGTCCTTCATTGGGGACCGGGCGATCCCCCGAAACCGCTCCGGGAATGTCGGGAATGAACAAGCATCGACCCATGCCGCAAATTCCCCGAAATGGATGTCCTTAACGACTAAGTCCGTGAAGCCCCACCTTTGTGGATGGAAGGCTTCTCATGTTTCGGGAAAGGTTTAGTATCTATCTGGTGTGGAGCAATGCAGGTGTACAAAGTTACCTGCTATTTTCGGTACAGGTTTAATCTCTATCTGGTGTGGGCATTGTTTTTGCTTCATGTTGCAGCAGGAGCAATGCAGGTGGGCACTTTAGCATCTGACTTGCAGAGCAAGCCAGGTGCAGAGAACCCAAACTCCCCGAAGGCAATGATCCTGCGAGACCCCAAGTTGAGTCTTTGCTTGGGGAAGACAGTCCAGAGACCCTGCAGTTTTCCTTGGACCGTTCCCTCACAAGCGCTCAATGGGTTGCTTGCGTTATTCCCCCATCTTTTGCTCCGGCCAAGGCTTGCCAGAGGTGGGGGGTTTACTTGGCTCCAAAAGGGGGCCCTGCTTCTTTGTTGAAACCGAAAGAGAATCACTTTTGGAACACCCGCATTGAACTGGCCACGTTTACAGGTGAAACCAAAAGGAATCTGGGCAGGAAAGAAAGGGTGGCTTGGAGTGGGGAAGCCAAGATATTTAGGGTGGCTCGGAGTGGGGAAGCCATCACATTGCTTTGATGCGCAGGCCAAATACAGCTGCCCGTGGTTGTGCTTGAATTTACAGAGTCCCTTAATTCAGATCCTAGAGATGTCAATGGCATTGAGTCCCCACAACGCCCAAAGTTGCTGAGAAGAAGCTGGTGGGATTCCAGTTTGTTTGACGGCCCAACTTGTTTGACTGCAAAGGCATCAGAGTTTGTGGGTTGCCGGCAGACTTGGCCGAAGCCTTCTTTCATGTGTTCGAGTGTAGCCTTGTGCGGATTGTGTGCGAGTCTGTGGCTTTTGTGCAGGCAGACGTCTCGACAGACCGACACCTGCGGACAAAAAGAAAGTCTAGAAAGATCCGGGCGGGAAGGGGCATGGAACAGCCCGATTGCTTGCTGGCAAAGTCTTTGTGCCTTTACAGGGCTCCTTGTTTAAGTGCCCTCACTCCAATCGGATTGAACATCCCTTCGCAACGGGCATGATCGCCCACGGAAGGTTGACTTTGCACAGATGTGTTGTGGCTTCTTTGATGCGGCCAGCTAAACATCATTTTGTGCCGCAGGACGGCGTAGGAAGGGTAATCGGAATAAAGGGCCTGCTCCCTTTGTCACGCATGCCGCCCGTGGTTTGACTGAGACCTTTTGCTTATAGCGCTGGGACTCCCAATCCCCCCTCCAAAGAAGTTTTGCAAAAAGGCAAGCGAAGTGTCTTTTGTCTTCAGGGAGCAAAGAAGGTTTGTCTAAACTTCGCAGATCTTGTCCGCCTAAGCAGTGTGCTCTCTGAACGCGTGTTATTCGCCAATGTGTCATAGGAAAGACCTCGTCTGAAAAGGCACCAGGTGCATCGAGTTCGAGTGTGGTTGGTTACGCCACTGGTTAGTCCGCATGGGAAGGCAGTCGGCTGCCCACAAAAGAAAGACTTTTACTGGAGAGTTGTCTTGCAAAGGGGGGGGTGCACTTGTTGTTTTTGCGTGTTTGCGTGTTTGTGATTGTTTGTGTGTTTGTGTTGTTGTGTTTTGGTTTGTTATGTTAGATTTGTTTGGGGTTGTGTTTGCTTCTTTTAGTCTGTTTTGTTTTGTTGCCCAGAATAGGTTCCAAAGGGAAACTCAACTCATTGACAAGTTCCCTTGTATAACAATCTCCGTGGCAAATGAAAAGGAGGGTCACGTATCACCTCGGACCTCTTGGATCGATTCCGTTCCTCTTGGCATGACAGCAAGACCAACATGTTCATCACCACGCCAAGTTCATACAATTTTCCTTCTTGGGTGTCTCAGAGTCACGGACATTCTGTGTCTAGGGCGCTGACGTTCTTTGTCCCACAAACTCGCCGGGGCTTTGGAGGCGAACTCTTTGAGTTCATTTACCAAGGAAATCCAAGGAGCAAACGGTCAAGATGCACAGCAAACGGCTGTCCAGATGAAGCCAAAAGTGCTCACAAGCATAGGTATCCCCTCAAACAAAACCCGCACCTGTTATGACAGGCATGGACGAGAGCGCCTTAGCAAGCAGAAAGCCGGGAGGGGGGGGGTGGTCATTGGCAGAGGGATTCTCTTCTGGGACTCCCAAAGAATGGAGTCCCGAAAGGTGTTTCCTTTTTTTTAGCTTTTGCGGGGAACTATGGGAAGACTAGATAAACGAGGTTCCCAGGGCAGGCCCAAAGTGCGTCGTTCCCTTTGGGAAACTCCCGCCCGAATGCCATGCTTAAAGGATTGGAGCTGGAGAATCTTGGTGCTATACTAAACCTGGGTCCATTTGCATGATTTCATGATCCAGGGAATCAGCTTCAACACTGGCAGGAGGTTACAGTCGCTGACATATGCTTCGCGGTGCCCCCGTTGTGGTTTGTCACTTGGTTTGTAGGGCTGTGCTGTTGGGAGCCGTCGCAATCTGAAGTGAGGGTTCTCTTCCCCTTCTTTCAGCGACCCTCGCGTAGAAAATTGTGAGGCCCAAGGAGGGTGCCTGTGCATCTCCTTGCAGGTAGGTAGTAGGCATATGCAGCATTATGCAGCACCAGCCGTCGTTAAATAGAGTGACCGCACAGGGGTGCACAACCCCACCCACGATGTGTGTGTGTGTGTGTGTGTTTCTTTCACCCAGAATTATAAGGCTCTTTGGACCCTGTCAAAGCACACGGCCCATCATGATGCTTAATTATTGTGTCGGGTCGTCTCCAAATTGGGGACCCCCCGAGATTGTTTGCTTGTAGTCTCTCTCTTTAAAGCAACCCCCAAAAGGGAACCCTCAAAGAAAGAAGGCAGGGCGCAGTTGGTGCCATTTGTTTGTACAGCCAAGTTGCTGCCTTGTTCAGACGCTTTGCAACCCCAAAAACCAGCAGTTGCTGGGGGAAAACAGCAAACGATCACTTTGGATGGTTTCCTGGCTCGTTGGTGAGGCGTTTGCGTGGACTCGGACGATGACTCGGTGCAGCTCAGCTTCCCCATGCCGCCGCCGCCGGTGCCAAAGCCGCGAGTCATGCACCTCCGACCGCTGACGCATGCGGTGGGGGGGCCCAGCCGTTTATTGGGTTGTTGTGTTAATTTCCATGCAAGTGATGTCCAAAACCGCATTTTGGTTGATTGGTTTCAAGCTGTTGCAGGTTTGTGCCGGAAATCTCAGCAAAGGCAGGCTTGCATGGGTGAAACGCTCATTTGTTGACCATTGGAAGGCACTCGTCCACAAGTGTCGCCCGATGTGGGCCAAACGCTGTGTGTTTGCGCCATGTTTCGGGAGAGTTGCTTGTTGGCTTGTTTCCAAAGCTGACCCACTGATTTCTGACCATGGTATGCGAGAGCCAAGGATTGGCCACTTGGACCTTGCTAGCCGAGAAACGGATTCAATCGCTGGATGCTGTTGGTCATTTTGAACATGGATGGCACTTGGTTTCAGTTCTAATCAATTGCCACTGCCGTCCAAGCTAGGTGCCAATCAGAAGGAACATGACGTGTCCAAGATGAGAAGCTCGCAAACTGGGACAGAGCCTCACTAGTTGCCTTGGCTC